CCAGCCTGCACCACATTCGGCTTGCCTCTTCCCCCATAGGTCAGCCTCACTGGAGGGCGCACATCCCTCCTAAGTCGCTCAGGCGGGTGTGGAACTCGAGGTGGAGACTCATGCTGCTGCTGCTGCTGCTCCACTACAGCTGCTCCCCCTTCTTCAGTCACCCCAGACATCTCCTCCTCAGACACTGCAACCTCCACCTGTCTTGAAGGCCGCTGCACCTCATCTGCCTCCACAATGAGCGGTGTAGATGGAAGCTTCTGTTGCTGCTGCTTCCATTCCTTGTAGTACAGGGACTCAAGAAACTTCACATCCCTTGACACTGTCAACTTCTGGGTGGTCAAGTCCCATAGCAGCCACCTCTTGTGATCCTTTGCAATCCCCAAGTGCACACCCCATCTTCCAGAAGCCTCCAAATTCCCCCTTTTCTCCTTAGGCACATGAAACACCACCATGCACCCAAATGCCCTCAGCATGTTCACAACTGGAGCACTCCCATACCACTTGACATATGGGATCCACTCCTTATCCCCAACTGTAGCCAGCACCCTGTTCTTCACAAGGGCAACCTGCCTCAGTGCAGACACCCAAAACGGATCAGGCAGCCCTGCACGCCCAAGGAGAGTGCGTGCCCCCTCCTGCAGGGTCCTGTTGAACCTCTCAGACACGCCATTCTGCTGTGGGTTGTAGGGCACTGTCAGTTGATGTTGGATCCCCTTCCTCTTCAACTCCCCCTCAAAATCAGCTCCAATGAACTCCCCACCATTGTCACTGCGGATCACCTTCACCTTCTGTCCACATTCCCTCTGAGCTCTAGGCATCCACTCCTTAAGGACAGCCGCTGCCACCTCCCCCTTGCTCTTCAAAGGGTAAACCCACACTGCCCGAGTGTGGTCATCCACAATTGTCAAGAAATAGCGGCTGCCTGAGAGGGAAGGGGCTCTTGTCGGCCCCACCACATCCATGTGCACAAGTGCAAGTGGGGTCTTGGCTGGTCCTGTAATGCTGTTGAAGGGGAACTTGGAGAACTTGGTCTCCAAGCATGTAGGGCAGCTCCCAATCTCCTTCACTCCCCATTTCACCTCCAATCATTTCAGGCTCCCATCCTTCACCAACTTCTGCAGCATAGGGAAGTTCACATGACACAGCCTCTCATGCCATGTCTCCCAATCGGCCTCACCACTCCTAGATGAAGCCTTGGCCCATGCCGCACTCGCATCCACACAAGCAAGCACCTCGCCATGTGTCTGCTGCTGCTGCACTTTCTTGACTGCTTCCAGGACCCCATCAGTTGGTGCAGTTGCATCTCCTCCTCCTGTTGCCTTTGCCGCTGCTGCCGTTGCTGCTGCAGGAGTCTTCCCATTCCAAGGGATGATGGGCAGCTGTCATAGATCCTTGATGCAGCTGGTCTCCTCTTCCAGACTCCACAGCACCTTCTTCCCAAGCTTAGCACGGCAGCAGGTTGGTCCAAAGGTCACTTCGGCCTTGCTCTTCTGCAGTCGCCGCACAGAGAGAAGGTTAGCAGACAAACCTTCAACCAGCAGAACATTCCCAAGCCCCACAAGTTCCCCATTAGCTCCCTTAACATTGGCATTCCCAACACCAATCACAGGGAGCAAAGCACCTGAAGCTGCTGCCACATACTTAATCTTCCCAGGGGGTTTTACCTCATCAAGCAAACCTGCCCATGGGGTCATGTGACTGGTGCAGCCCGAATCAATCACCCAGTGCGTGAGAGGGTGCATCACAACCTTTCCCACAGATCCCACATCACCCTCATGCCCATGCACATCCTCAACCATGAGAAACATCCCAGGATAGGTATTACCTTGTACACCTTCACCTTGTGCACCTGAGCCTTGCACAGCGCCACCTTGTGCGCGTTCACCACTGGGCGGCTTCATGCCTGGAGGTGCCCATCCCTCCGGCCTGCCGAAGCACTTGAACCAAGGATGCCCAACCTTCTTGCAGTACCAGTAGGTGCCCTCCATTCTGGTACTCCCCCTGCCACTAAAGCTCCCATGCCCATCATTATAGTCACCTCGGCCTCTACCTCTGCCAAAGCTCCTCCCACGGCCTCGGCCTCTCCAACCCCCTCTTCCTCTGCCACGCCCTGCAGCTCCATACCCCTCAGCAGTCTTAGTAGACGCACCACCTCCCACATGGCGTCTGCGGAAGTTCTCCTGCAGAATCTGCTGCCTTAGCCACTCAGGTGTCCATTGATCTTGCTGAGAGTTGAGGGTGGGGATGAGGTTGTCCCAAGAGTTGTCCAACACCGAGATGATCTTGGTGCACTACTGCAGCTGAGATACAGTGCTGCCCGCTGCTGCCATCCTTGCATAGGTGTCCTTGATCTTGTCAAGGACCGGCTTCACATCGTCCCCTGGTCGCATGGAGATGGCACCAAGTTCCTTCTTGAGCACGATCACCATCGGGAGAGTGTTGGGCTGAATCACATCGCGTAGTAGTTTCCACGCCCTTGGACCCGAATCATCCGCTTCCACAAGATCCTTGATGTGCTCGAACATTTCCTTGTTGACCGATTGAAGGATGAGGTCGAAAAACACCGCGCTTTTCTCAATCCACCGTTCGCGTGCTTCGCCTTCTTCCGGCATCTTCTCTTCCCCAACAGCAATCTTCAGTAGCTTGTAGCGTTTGAAGGCACTCCTCATCCGTCCGCTCCATTCCTCATAGTTGGAGCCATCCAAAGCTTCAACTTTTGATGGCGGCGGCTCACTTGTCTTCTCAGCTACAGCTCCTCTTCCATTAGCATCTCCTCCTCTCTCAATCATCTTCTCCTTGAGAAATGACGAATTTCAGCTCCCCTTTGCTGTCCACACTCAGCTCTCTCGATATTTTCACAAGTGTCGGCGTCCACGAAATTTCGGCAGAGTTTCCCCGTAGCGGAAGACACATCCAACCTTTAGAACACCACTTAGGCACACCCACAGGCCATGGTGGGTCTAGAAGGGTCTTCACAATTCTGTAGACTCCTCTCAATGTCCTTAATATCGCTCTGATACCACTTGTTAGGATTAAGGACGGAGTCTAGGTGTGCTTAGGAGCTAGAAATACTCAAAATATAAGTCCGAAATTCTGGACAGAAAAGTCGTCTTCACAAGAAACGACGTCGACAAAAAACCAGCTGTTGGAATGTTGCGAAACTTGGAGATGTTGTAGCGCTTAATCGCAGCTACCGTTCTCAATTTGAATCACGTTGATTGATGAAGTATTCGCGACGCTATGGCTTTCGACGCACTAGGTGGTAAGCTGTAGGAGGAGAACTTAACTCAATCTCAAGAGTTCAATCAAAGTTCAAGAATCTCACAAGGAATTAGAGGAGCAACAGAAAGGTTGGGATAGAAGAGAGGATGAGAGGGAAGGTCTCAAGAGAGTCCCCAACCAAGGAAACCCCATAAGCACAAAGATTCCCCCCCTATAGGAACCTCAACTTTGACATTTGTCCCTTTCCAACCAATCCATCCAAGTTGGCCACCCTTGCCAATCTAGCTTGGTATTTCCCAACGAATTTGCATCTATTACAGTAGAGTGACAAATTTCCCCAACCCCAAAGGTCCCAATTCCATATAGAGTCACCCCACGACTTCACTTTGTAACCGCCGCAATTGTAACGCAAGCTCATGAACTTTGAATCTTCATAGCTTTCGCGTTCTTGCTCCGATTGAAGCGATTCTTGTTGTGTCGGAAAGATCTTCTCAAGATCTATCATCAGAAAAGACCTGCTTAAACAAAATAACACAAAACACATTCCCAAACTCCATAACACACCACACACAAATTCTTTCACACACAGTCAAACCATACATGCGAATCGAAACAAGGGATGGGAGGCAGACAGAATGTGATAGCATATGATGACATCACACAACAACAGCGATAGTGGCGGTCTTAGCGACAGCGGCGGAAGCGTCAGAGTAAGTGCACTGGGAGGGAGCACAGCCCTGGAAGATAGGGACCACCATTGTACCGCTGGACTGAGCGAGATTGCGCTGGCGGGTCTCTATCGCGGACAGGGTGGCGACAAAGTCGTCTAGGGTGAGGTCAGCAGGGTGGAGACTAAGAAAGGTGTCACGGGTGGGGGCTAGCGGTCTGGGAGGCGCGTGGCTAGGAAATATAGAGTGGCGCCGATGGGAGGGGGGAGTACAGTGAGATGAGCCTCAGTGCTAATAGTGGGGTAGCTAGACTCGAGCGCGCGCAGGTGGTTTGCGAGATCAGCGACAGTGGGGAGGGAAATGAGATTAGGGAAGAGCAGGGGCAGGAGGGGACGGCCAGCAAAGGCGAAGGAGGGAGTGGAATAACAAGCGGCAACATCGTCTAGATACGTCAGCGCAGTTGCTATGGCCTGAAAGCAGGGACGCTCGGGTAGCGGAAGGGCATGACAGATAGCTAGCTGTCACGCGACTCCCAGACAGCGAGCGATCTCAGCAGCACTGAGAACCTTATGCGCAGCAGGCGAGTCGTCTGTATCGAGGGCAGCGGGCTCGGGAGGGCAGGGCAGCTTACCGTCAGCATGGAACGACAGAGACTGGCTGTCCTGGCGCTGACCTTTCAGCTGGCGGCGCAAGTCGGCGAGCCAAGCCTCGAAGTCCACCGCGCATCCCTCGGCGTCCAGGCGGAGAACGGCGTCCGCCATGGCGCACACCTGTCAGCAGCAGCTCACCAGGAGCAGCCGGACTCTAGCACGACTGCAGCAGCTTAGGAAACAGGAGGAGGAGCTGGGGCCGGCGGCGAGATGGGGCCGGCAGCGAGCTGGGGCCGGCGACGCGCTAGGGCCGGTGCGGCGTGCTAGGGCCGGCGGCGACGAGCGGGGGCCGGGGGAGCAGCGTGCTAGGGGCGGGGTGGTCGGGCGGAAGCATGGGTGGGCGGGACCTACCTAGTTAATGTAGCAAAGTGTATGAAAACACGGGATACACCTAGTGTGACATTTCGGACGAATTCCTGGTCTTAACATCAGACGAAATGATTTTGCTACTAAAAAAATCATAAAAAAACTGGTTTGATTTTCAGACCATCAGACCGATTTGGTCCGATTTGGTACTTGTTTGTATCCCCCTCCCCCTTCTTGTGATTTCTCGTAATCTTGAGTCAACTTTCCTCTCGTAATTCTAACACATACAATATTTCTGGGGAACAACGTAAGGTGAAATATCATTTTCTTTCTCCCCGCCCATTCTTCCCTTCCTCTTTGCCTTATCTTGCTTCTGACCACCCTCGTACATCCCCAATCCTTGGGTTCCTCCCACGCTCCCCCCAATTCCAACCTCCCACGCTGTTGTGTTTGCCCCTCGTCCCTTCCCAGTTATCTCCTTCCTAACTTCCTCGTCCGTGTGCCCCCCTCCCTCCACCTTCTCCTCAGCCTCCCTCGCCACCCTCAGCAGCGCGCGCACCGATGTCTGGAAGGACGGCCAGCTGTGGGGTAGGTTGGGGAAGAGGGGAGGGGCACATGAGGGAGCGCAATTGGGAGAAGGGACGAGTGCATGAGGGAGTGCAATGCAGGGGAGGGAGGAAGGGAATTGCGAGAATGAGTATCTAATGTTAAAATCGCAGTAATTTATGCTAGGAGAGCTGATTCTGTTTGAGGCCAACTCGTCTCAGGGATAAGTTGGGAAGTGACGTGGTGGAATGGGGTGGACAGAGGTTCAAAGGGGGGGTTGGTGCGCTTAGGGTTCGAAATTCGAATTCGAAGTTCAGTTCGCGATGTGCGAAGCCGAAAATATTTTTTCGCTAAGTTGCAAAATGTCGCCATTTTTTTTTCCGGTCAGCCCGTGCGTATTTTGGCGTATCTATGCCAAAAACGTAGCGTACGTATTTTCCGTGCGTTTAAACACAATACGCAATCAAACTTGGGCGTTTTTTCCAACTTAGCCCATGGCTGTTCCCCGTGCCCCACTGCTACCCATGGGTGTTCCTCCTGGCACCTGAGGTCTGTGCGGCTGTAGAGCTTGGCGAGTCGGCGCTTGTCGGGCTTAAGCACGCCTGCGCGCCCGCCGTGCAGGTAGCGGCGCTGCCCCGTGAGCACGTGCCCGAAGTTGGACCCGTGCGACAGCACCAGCAGTGGGGCACGCAGCGCTATCAGGTAGTCTATGGCCGCCAGCTGCGACGCATGGCCCTGGGGGAGTGGGGGGCAGGCGGGAGGGAGAGGAGAGGGGGAGGGGAGGGGGTAAGAGGAGAGGAGAGGCAGGGAAGAGAGGCCCATGTGTGAATGGCTGAACTACTGGGTGCTGATTTGGATGGCAGGGGTGGGGAGCCGGGAGGAAACGGAGTAGCAGAGGCTGGAGATGCAGAGGGAGGGTCGTGGGTGGGGAGCGAGGGAACAGAATCAGAAGATTGAAGGGCACAGGGAGATGGATGGTGGCTCGTGGTGGCATGCGCATGCAGACACCCATAGACGCACATGCCTGAGAATACATGCAGCTGTACACTGACGAGCACATACGTAGTCACCCAGGGGCCTGGCACGTGAGCGAACCTGGAAGGGGCGCAGGTCGTGTGGCGAGAGCAGGTGCGCCTTGGTGAGCATGCGCGGGTAGAGGGCGGTGAAGGCGGCCATGAGGTGCGGCGGGCCGTACAGCGCACCCGACGCCACAAACACCGGCATGGATGGGGGGACGCCCGCTGCCCGCATGAACAGAGCCACCTGGTAGCATGGGGACAGGCGGGGCAGCAGAAGGTAGGATAAATCAGGAGAGGTTGGAGAAAGAGGAACAAAATAAGAGGACGTGAGAAAGGTGACACAAGAACGGGAAACCAGCACACGAAGTGAGCCGATGCAGCAGCGAAACACAAATGAGGAAATGCACTCGCGAGCAGGAAATGCTCATTCCGTGGCATGATGCAACAAGCCATGGCGTCACGTCACCACCCCCCCCCGCCCCTGCCCCCAGTACCTCCAGCGGCGTGAGAGGGCAGTGCCCCGCCTCTCTCAGTGACCTCGCTGACTCGCCCACACCCTGTGCCCCCTCCGCACCACTGCTGCTAAAAGTGTCATTGCTGCTACTCCAACTCCCCGTGCTCCCATGTGCCTTCTCCCCCTGCCCTTCTGCCTGCTCGTGCGTGCCTCCCCCCAGCAGCGGCATGAGTGGGCCCCACCAGGCGCTTCTGTGCTGGAACTTGCTCCACCCGAACTCCCTGTACCGCTCGAGGTCCCTCTGCAGGGTGCGTGAGGACGAGAAGGAGCAGCGCGAGAAGGCCAGCATGTCGCGCTCAAACCGCACGTGCACCGCCACAAACACGCCGCTCGCCCGTGCACGCGCTAATGGCGGGGGGAGGATCCATGGCAGCAGGGGGGCAGGTGGACGCAGGAGAGGTGGCGAGTGGGGGGACATGGCTGTGACACCAGCAGCAGAGGTGGAGTGAGGGTTGACGACAGAAGTAGCATGGGCATTGAGGCGGTGCAGGGCGGTAGTGGCAGCAGCGCGGATGGGCAGGAGGAAGCGCAGCGAGTGGAAGTTGCAGCGACAGCGCAGGCGCTGCACGGCCAGGGGCAGGCCCCGCGAGGACAGGCGGTTGGCAAATGGGTTCAGACGCACGGCTCTGGTTGGGGGGGGGACGATTGACAAGGATAGAGAGCGGGAGGAAGAGGGATTGGACTCAGGGAACAGGGATAGAATGGGACATGTGACAGACGACACGCTATCTGTGGCCATGTGACACCCCATTCATGCCATGCAACACCATTCATGCCATGCAACACCATCCATGCCATGCAACACCATCCATGCCATGCAACACCATTCATGCCATGTAACACCATCCATGCCATGTAACACCATCCATGCCATGCAACAGCATTCATGCCATGCAACACCATTCATGCCATGCAACACCATCCATGCCATGCAACAGCATTCATGCCATGCAACACCATCCATGCCATGCAACACCATTCATGTCATGCAACAGCATTCATGCCATGCAACACCATTCATTCATGCCATGCAACAGCATTCATGCCATGCAACACCATCCATGCCATGCAACACCATTCATGCCATGCAACACCATTCATGCTATGCAACACCATCCATGCCATGCAACAGCATTCATGCCATGCAACACCATTCATGCCATGCAACACCATTCATGCCATGCAACACCATTCATGCCATGCAACACCATTCATGCCATGCAACACCATTCATGCCATGCAACACCATTCATGCCATGCAACACCATTCATGCCATGCAAGAATGCAGGTTGGCCACCAGGTACAAACTTGGAGCACTTCCAGAAAGGTGAGCACAGTCTTGCACGCAGCTAACCTCGCACGATCGAATCCACCGCACGATTTTCTCAGCTACTGGCGTTACTGTGTTCGCCATGCCTAGGAAGCTATCCGACATTTGGGAGCATGTTAAGAAGGTGAAGGAGCCGACCGGGCTTGTTATTAGCACAGTTTGCATTCATTGTGGCTCTAGTGTCACTCCAAACGCGACCAGGATAGGGCAGCATATCTATGGCACCCCTAGCTCGATGGAGAAGAATGTCTCCACTTGCCCGTCGGACTACGCGAAGCAGCTGCGTGAGAGCAACCAAGAAGAACATTCCACGTCCCCTGACGGCACGCAAGGACGAGCTTCGTCCTCGACGGTGCACTCTGCCCCGCGCTCGCGTCAGCAAGACATTCGCGAGCTAGCTGATGTGGCTGGCCGCCAGCGGTTGGATTATCTTTGGGCGACAGTGGTCGCTGAAAACGACCTCGCGTTTCGGACATCACAGTCGCCGGCCTTGCAGGCCTTCGTCAACGCGGCAGTCCAGTTTGGGAAGCCGTACAAGCTTCCATCCGCGTACAAGGTCAGCGGGCCGCTGCTCGCGAAACTCAAGACCGACACAGAGGAGTTGCTGCAGCCGCTGAAGGACACGTGGAGGACCAGTGGCGTTTCTCTTACCGTCGACGGCTGGTCCTGCCTTAAGAGTTGCGGATTCGTGGGTGTAATCGCTCAGAACGATACGGCACCCGTAGTCGTCGACGTCGTCGACTCCAAAACCGCGAAAAAGATGGGGAGCTACCTCGCGGAGCTTATTCGACGCTCGATCTGCAACGTGGGGGACCGGCTCGTCATCCAGGTGGTCATGGATAACGCCTCCAACAACAAGAAGGCGGGGGCGTTGTTGAAGGAGGGGTACCCGCAAATCTTCTACACCAACTGCGCCGCCCATTGCCTCGACTTAATCCGCGCCGTGCAGCGCATCCTCGGGCAGGTGCACAAGGTGGTGATGATGGTGAAGAAGTCAGCCTCCGCGGTCACTTTGTTCCGCGAGGTCTTCAGCTCCTTGGAGCTTATGCGCCCGGGAGCTACACGTTTCGGGACGCAAGTGCTGATGATCGGGCGCTTCCTCGAAGCGAAGAAGGCCCTGCGGGAGATGGTGATCAGCGATGCATGGGAGGAGGTGCTAGTTTCCCGCACGGAGGAGGGGAAAGCAATTCGCAGCCTCCTCCTCGAGGACGTTTTCTGGGAAAGCGTCGCCGTGGTGCTCAAGCTCATGACACCCATCTACGAGGTCCTGAGGCGGGTCGACAAGCGATGTTTCCTCATGGGCCAGATCTATGGCCTTATGCTGGAGGCCACTGTCAAGACCACCGACACGGCAGAGGCGGCAGGTAAGCCCACCTCTTGCTTGCCCATTTCCCCCCGCGGCGTGCGAGCGGCACTCATGTGTCATTCCCATGGGCGTTCTTAGCTGTACCTAATCTCACCCTCCCTCGGCACGTCTGCTCCCCGTGCAGCCGCCTTCTTTGTCAAGCGGACGGCGTTGCTCGAGGCGAAGGACAAGGCGAGTTTCCTCGTCACGGTGAAGAAGATCATCGCCAACCGCTGGGATGGTCAACTGCACAACCCGCTCCACGCTGCGGGGTGGCTCCTGAATCCCCGCAACCAGTACGTGGGGGAGGTGCGAAACGACCCTGAGGTGAGGCAGGGGGCAGAGGAGGTGTTTTTGGCGAGGGGAGGGGATGTACCTCGGCGCACCATGCTCGCGGCTCAGCTGGGCACCTTCCACAAGGGGGAGGGCCGCCTGGGATCCGTGGAGGCCCGTTGGGCAGCGACGGCTTTGGTGGAGAGCGGGCGGCTCTCCGACGCCGAGTGGTGGTGGATGTACGGCGGCGAGGTGGCCGCCTTGCAGGAGCTGGCTGTGATGATCTTGTCACAGCCAGTCACATCCTGCGAGGTTGACCGCTACAGGTCGGCTCTGGCTCGTGTCCAAACGCGCGACCGCAACAGGCTGAACGCCTCCACCATGACGGACGTGACGTTCGTCGCGTTCGGCAGGCAGGCGCGAACAGCCTTTGACCAGAAGGTCGAGGCTCGAGCTCAGCTGTACGACGACCTCACCAATGGCACTCTGAAGGAGGGTGCCAACATCACCAAACCCCCCCTGTGGAAGCCGAGGCCAACAAGGAGGTAGAGGAGGAGGGCGGGGAGGTGTGTACCATCGACTGGGATGCCTTTGGCAACATCGGCGGGCGGAAGAAGAAGGCGGCATCCAAGGCTCGGGGCAAGAAGCGGGCCAAGAAGGGTAGGGGGTCCCGTAAGGGGAAGGAGAAAGTGGCCTACGATGAGGAGGAGGAGGAGGAGGAGGAGGAGGAGGAGGAGGAGGAGGAGGAGGAGGAGGAGGAGGAGGAGGAGGAGGAGGAGGAGGAGGAGAAAGAGGAAAAGGAGGAGGAGGAGGAGGAGGAGGAGGAGGAGGAGGAGGAGGAGGAGGAGGAGGAGGAGGAGGAGGAGGAGGAGGAGGAGGAGGATCATGAGGAAGAGGAGGAGGATGAGGAGGGCGAGGAGGAGGGCGAGGACGAGGAGGAGGGCGAGGGCAGTGGATCAAAGGAGCCTCACAAGAGGGCCAAGGGGAGCAACCCCTGGGATTGCAACGATGGTGACAGTGGGGCGGATGAGGAGGAGGACGAGGAGTAGTAGTGTGAGGAGGAGGTCGCGCCACGAGGAGCAGTAGAGTAGGGGCCGGGGGAGTGGTACGCCGAGCAGGAGGGGGAGGAGGAGTAGGAGGTAGATTAAACGTACCTCTAGTCATGGTAGTTGACCACCTTAGCGTCGTGTCGTCCACCTTAGGCAAGTTGTACCGCATGTCCGCAATTTTTGAGTTTTTTTTTTGTCGCAAATCCGTCTAATAAAAAAACGGCCGTATTTTTCAAAATACAACCGTATAAAACGAACCGAAAAAAACGACCGTATAATACGAAAACCGTATTTTTCCACCCTGCATGCAACACCCTTCATGCCATGCAACACCATTGATGCCATGCAACACCATTCATGCCTTAAAACACCATTCATGCCATGCAACACCATCCATGCCATGCAACACCATTCATGCCATGCAACAGCATTCATGCCATGCAACACCATTCATGCCATGCAAAACCACTCATGCCGTTTAACACCACTCACGCCATGTAACACACCATTCATGCCATGTTACGCCATTAATGCCATCTAACACCATTCATGCCATGCAACACCATTCATGCCATGCAACACCATTCATGCCATGCAACACCATTCATGCCATGCAACACCATTCATGCCATGCAACACCAATCATGCCATGTAACACCATTAATGCCATGTAACACCATTCATGCCATCTAACACCATTCATGCCATGCAACACCATTCATGCCATGCAACACCATTCATGCCATGCAACACCACTCACGCCATGTAACACACCATTCATGCCATGTTACGGCATTAATGCCACCTAACACCATTCATACCATGCAACACCATTCATGCCATGCAACACCGTTCATGCCATGAAAAAACCATTCATGCCACGCAACACCATTCATGCCATGCAACACCATTCATGCCATGTAACACCATTCATGCCTTAAAACACCATTCATGCCATGCAACACCACTCATGCCATGCAACACCATTCATGCCACCCAGCACCATTCATGCCATGCAACACCATTCATGCCATGCAACACCATTCATGCCATGCAGCACCATTCATGCCATGTAACACCATTCATGCCATGTAACACCATTCATGCCATGCAACACCATTCATGCCATGCAACACCATTCATGCCATGCAACACCATTCATGCCATGCAACACCATTCATGCCATGCAACACCATCCATGCCATGTAACAACATCCATGCCATGTAACAACATCCATGCCATGTAACAACATCCATGCCATGCAACACCATTCATGCCATGCAACACCATTCATGCCATGCAACACCATTCATGCCATGCAACACCATTCATGCCATGCAACACCATTCATGCCATGCAACACCATCCATGCCATGTAACAACATCCATGCCATGCAACAACATCCATGCCACGCAACACCATTCATGCCATGCAACACCATTCATGCCATGCAACACCATTCATGCCATGCAACACCAATCATGCCATGTAACACCATTCATGCCATGTTACACCATTCGTGCCATGTAACACCATTCATGCCATGCAACACCATTCATGCCATGCAACACCATTTATGCCATGTAACACCATTCATGCCATGCAACACCACTCATGCCATGCAACACCATTCATGCCATGAGAAAACCATTCATGCCAAGCAACACCATTCATGCCATGCAACACCATTCATGCCATGTTACACCATTCATGCCATGTAACACCATTCATGCCAAGCAACACCATTCATGCCATGCAACACCATTCATGCCATGCAACACCATTCATGCCATGCAAAACCACTCATGCCGTTTAACACCACTCACGCCATGTAACACACCATTCATGCCATGTTACGCCATTAATGCCATCTAACACCATTCATGCCATGCAACACCATTCATGCCATGCAACACCATTTATGCCATGGAACACCATTCATGCCATGCAACACCATTCATGCCATGCAACACCGTTCAGGCCATGAAAAAACCATTCATGCCATGCAACACCATTCATGCCATGTAACACCATTCATGCCATGTAACACCATTCATGCCATGTAACACCATTCATGCCATGCAACACCATTCATGCCATGCAGCACCATTCATGCCACGCAACACCATTCATGCCATGCAACACCATTCATGCCATGCAGCACCATTCATGCCATGTAACACCTTCCATACCATGTAACACCATCCATGCCATGCAACACCATCTTGCCATGCAACACCATTCATGCCATGCAACACCATTCATGCCATGCAACACCATTCATGCCATGCAACACCATTGATGCCATGCAACACCATTCATGCCATGTAACACCATTCATGCCATGCAACACCATTCATGCCATGCAACACCATTCATGCCATGCAACACCATTCATGCCATGCAACACCATTCATGCCATGCAAAAGCACTCATGCCGTGTAACACCACTCACGCCATGTAACACACCATTCATGCCGTGTTACGGCATTAATGCCATCTAACACCATTCATGCCATGCAACACCATTCATGGCATGCAACACCATTCATGCCATGCAACACCATTCATGCCATGCAACACCATTCATGCCATGCAACTTCATTCATGCCATGCAACACCATTCATGCCATGCAACACCATTCATACCATGCAACACCATTCATGCCATGTAACACCATTCATGCCATGCAACACCATTCATGCCATGCAGCACCATTCATGCCACGCAACACCATTCATGCCATGCAACACCATTCATGCCATGCAGCACCATTCATGCCATGTAACACCTTCCATACCATGTAACACCATCCATGCCATGCAACACCATCTTGCCATGCAACACCATTCATGCCATGCAACACCATTCATGCCATGCAACACCATTCATGCCATGCAACACCATTGATGCCATGCAACACCATTCATGCCATGTAACACCATTCATGCCATGCAACACCATTCATGCCATGCAACACCATTCATGCCATGCAACACCATTCATGCCATGCAACACCATTCATGCCATGCAAAAGCACTCATGCCGTGTAACACCACTCACGCCATGTAACACACCATTCATGCCGTGTTACGGCATTAATGCCATCTAACACCATTCATGCCATGCAACACCATTCATGGCATGCAACACCATTCATGCCATGCAACACCATTCATGCCATGCAACACCATTCATGCCATGCAACTTCATTCATGCCATGCAACACCATTCATGCCATGCAACACCATTCATACCATGCAACACCATTCATGCCATGTAACACCATTCATGCCATGCAACACCATTCATGCCATGCAACACCATTCATGCCATGCAACACCATTCATGCCATGCAACACCATTCATGCCATGCAACACCATTCATGCCATGCAACACCATCCATGCCATGTAACAACATCCATGCCATGTAACAACATCCATGCCATGCAACAACATCCATGCCACGCAACACCATTCATGCCATGCAACACCATTCATGCCATGCAACACCATTCATGCCATGCAACACCAATCATGCCATGTAACACCACTCATGCCATGTTACACCATTCGTGCCATGTAACACCATTCATGCCATGCAACACCATTCATGCCATGCAACACCATTCATGCCATGTAACACCATTCATGCCATGCAACACCATTCATGCCATGCAACACCATTCATGCCATGCAACACCATTCATGCCATGTTACACCATTCATGCCATGTAACACCATTCATGCCAAGCAACACCATTCATGCCATGCAACACCATTCATGCCATGCAACACCATTCATGCCTTAAAACACCATTCATGCCATGCGACACCATCCATGCCATGCAACACCATTCATGCCATGCAACAGCATTCATGCCATGCAACACCATTCATGCCATGCAACAGCATTCATGCCATGTAACAACATTCATGCCATGCAACACCATTCATGCCATGCAACACCATCCATGCCACGCAACACCATTCATGCCATGCAACACCATTCATGCCATGCAACACCATTCATGCCATGCAACACCATTCATGCCATGGAACACCATTCATGCCATGCAACACCATTCATGCCATGAAAAAACCATTCATGCCACGCAACACCATTCATGCCATGCAACACCATTCATGCCATGCAGCACCATTCATGCCATGCAACACCATCCATACCATGTAACACCATCCATGCCATGCAACACCATCTTGCCATGCCACACCATTCATGCCATGCAAGACCATTCATGCCATGCAACACCATTCATGCCATGCAACACCATTCATGCCATGCAAAAGCACTCATGCCGTGTAACACCACTCACGCCATGTAACACACCATTCATGCCGTGTTACGGCATTAATGCCATCTAACACCATTCATGCCATGCAACACCATTCATGGCATGCAACAGCATTCATGCCATGCAACACCATTCATGCCATCCAACACCATTCATGCCATGCAACTTCATTCATGCCATGCAACACCATTCATGCCATGCAACACCATTCATACCATGCAACACCATTCATGCCATGTAACACCATTCATGCCATGCAACACCATTCATGCCATGCAACACCATTCATGCCATGCAACACCATTCATGCCATGCAACACCATTCATGCCATGCAACACCATTCATGCCATGCAACACCATCCATGCCATGTAACAACATCCATGCCATGTAACAACATCCATGCCATGCAACAACATCCATGCCACGCAACACCATTCATGCCATGCAACACCATTCATGCCATGCAACACCATTCATGCCATGCAACACCAATCATGCCATGTAACACCATTCATGCCATGTTACACCATTCGTGCCATGTAACACCATTCATGCCATGCAACACCATTCATGCCATGCAACACCATTCATGCCATGTAACACCATTCATGCCATGCAACACCATTCATGCCATGCAACACCATTCATGCCATGCAACACCATTCATGCCATGTTACACCATTCATGCCATGTAACACC